TTCAGTTGCGCAGTTTGAAAGATTTTTCATAATTTTGTGTAAAATGTGAGATCGATCTTGACATCACATGAGTGTTTTTTTTTTCAAGAATTAATTATTTGTATTTTTCTAAGCCTAGCAGTTAGGTGTCGGTGAACTCAGTCCATGTTGCTCATTACAGTTTTGCTCGTATATTATTAATTAAGAATGTTCAACTAAATGAAGCTGCCTTTAATTGCTAAGTCAACTGTTGAGTTTTTGACGTGTTCCGTTTTGCCGTGCGGTCGGTCGGTCAGAACAGAGTTGTCTAACATGTTCTGTATACCACAGTTACATCATGATGGTCATTGTTTTGACTCTCAAATAACCTTGACAGGTAGTTTGATATTGAGATGCTTCTGTGCTGGCTAATGACTTTGTGTGATTTGTTTACTCTTGCCCTTTTTAGGGGGACGTTGGCCCTCCAGGCAATGTCGGCCGCAAAGGTCCACAGGTATTCATTTTGCATGATTGTATTGACACTTGAGTGTTTGAGCTCGCATACAATGTTTAACACGTGTTTCTTTTATTTTATGTACTTAATTTTCACTTGACAGGGCCCCCCAGGTTTAGATGGACAGGCGGGGCCTCCAGGACCCAGAGGGCCCCAAGTAAGTAGAATAAAAACAAAATACATTTTAAAAATTCAGTGCGTGCTCATGACCGTGGTGCGGCCTGTGTCACGAATATGTTAAAACGAGTTTCACATTTGTTTATAGGGAACACCAGGACTGAGTGGTGGAGCAGGGCCGAAAGGAGATCCTGTAAGTATGTTGTTGGCTTTTGTTTGAATGGCAGCAACATTCGAGCAAAATGTCAACCAGTTGTTGGAGGGATGCTGTTCTGTATCGCGGCCATCATTGAGGTGCCCCTGAGAAGAGCATCGAACATCCCACGCTCTGCTCAGGAGTGCAGTGTGCATACCTCCTCATTTGGACATCTCGCTGTGCATGCCTGCACGCGCATGTGTGTGGCCTCTTTCTCTGTCTGGTGTGCTTGAAAGTACATACAGCAGAATGAGAATTGGATTGGACACTTACCCTCTCATTACAAATGGCAATACCGTACTTGATAGCAATTTTTTTTTTCGATTTAGTTTTTAATCGTATGATTTGTTTATTTATTTATTGATGCTATTTTTTTTTTGCACCCTAGGGACATGTGGGTACCGTGGGTATGCGGGGCGAACCCGGATTTGAAGGGCCAACGGTGAGTTCGATATTCCCTTGGGCAGGGGCCCCCAACCACCGGTCTCAACTGGTCCGTGACACAA